TTATGTTCAGGCCCAGGATTTTTGGAAACCATTTTACAATATCACATATAGAGCTTCAAAATACTTTATGTGTCACTAAAAAAGATTTAGTACAATATCAAGCAATACAAAGAGTAACTTATCTTGATAATTTCTAGCAACACAAATGCACAAAAACAACCTTCAAAACCTCACAAATGGAGCTCTTGCACTCCTTTTTTGAGCAACTCTCCTTTTTGGAGAAGAAAATTCAATAAAACATGAAAGAAATGCACTCCCAATATGTAGCTAATCACTCTTCCAACCGAAAGTGAAGAACCTCTTTGTACCCCAGCCATATAAAAGACCACAGTTCCACTAGAATTTATATAAATAATTCATTTTTTTTGGCGGTAAATTCATCCATCTCAATACAATGAATTCCTATGTGGCGATTAATATACTATCGAAAGGGTTAAAAAAACTGAATTAACATTGAGGAAAGTTTTATATATATATAATAAGATAGCTCACAAGTTGAATTTTATCCCCTATACATTTTTTCCCCCTAATCCATTACATCACCCAATTTTAACACATGTTCAATTATTTAATATTTTATTAATCTGTAGCTTAACACAATTTTTATTTTATACTTTGTCCATAAACGATAGTGTACCCATGTTGAGTAAGAATTGTCGGGTTATAAATTTGGAGAAAATTTGGATGCAATTTTTAATAAAATAATAAGAAAAATAATTTTAAATGATGTAATCAAAGAAATGAAGAAATAAAAAATGTTATTTAGTATAATAGAATCAATTTTTTTAATGCTCAAATCTTATATTTCATTGTGACCTCAGACATGAGTTAGTTATTACTATTTATCTATATAATAAGATAGCTCATAAGTTGAATTTTATTCCCTACACATTTTTCCCTCCCAAATCCATCAAATCATCCAATTTTAATATATGTTCAATCATTTAATATTTTATTAANATAAGTTGAATTTTATTCCCTACACATTTTTCCCTCCCAAATCCATCAAATCATCCAATTTTAATACATGTTCAATCATTTAATATTTTATTAATTTATAGTTTAACAATTTTTATTTTATATTTTGTCCATAAACGATAGTGTACCCATATTGAGAAAAATTTGTCGGGTTATAAATTTTGAGAAAATTTTGCTGCAATTTTTAATAAAATAATAAGAAAAAAATAATTTTAAATGATGTAATCAATTAAACAAAGAAATAAAAAATGTCATTTAGTATAATAGAATCAATTTTTTTAACACTCAAATCTTATATTTCATTGTGCCTTCAGACATGAGTTGATTATTACTATCTATCTATATAATAAGATTGCTCATAAGTTGAATTTTATCCCCTGCACATTCCCCCCCCCCCCCAAACAAATCCATCACATCAGCCAATTTTAGCATTTGTTCAATCATTTAATATTTTAGTAATTTGTAGTTTAACACAATTTTTATTTTATACTTTGTCCATAAACGATAGTGTACTCATGTTGAGAAAAATTTGTCGGGTTATAAATTTTGAGAAAATTTTGATGCAATTTTTACTAAAATAATAAGAAAAAAAAAATTTTAAATGATGTAATCAATTAAACAAAGAAATAAAAAATGTCATTTAGTATAATAGAATCAATTTTTTTAACACTCAAATCTTATATTTCATTGTGCCTTCAGACATGAGTTGATTATTACTATCTATCTATATAATAAGATTGCTCATANTAGTATAATATAATCAATTTTTTTAATGCTCAAATCTTATATTTTATTGTACCTTTAGACATGAGTTAATTATTACTATCTATATATCTATATAATAAAACACATTTTTCTTTCACGTGTTCAGTCATTTTATCTCCTATACATTTTTTCCTTAAAATCATCACATTACTCTTTTCTATCACGTGTTCAATAATTTAATATTTGATTAATTTATAGTTTAGCATAATTTTAATTTCAGACATGAACCATATACGATAATATACAAATGNTGTCACGTGTTCAGTCATTTTATCTCCTATACATTTTTCCCTTAAAATCATCACATTACTCTTTTCTATCACGTGTTCAATCATTTAATATTTGATTAATTTATAGTTTAGCATAATTTTAATTTCAGACATGAACCATATACGATAATATACAAATGTTTAGAAATTTTGATCAAATTACGTATTTTGGGAAAACTTTGTCAATATTTTTAAGAAAATAATTGGTAAATTTTTTTTTTAATGATGTAATCAAAGAAATGAAGGAAAGAAAAATTATTATTTAATATAGTGAGATCGATTTTTTGAGATTCAAATTTTATGTTTTATCNCAAATTACGTATTTTGGGAAAACTTTGTCAATATTTTTAAGAAAATAATTGGTAAAATTTTTTTTAATGATGTAATCAAAGAAATGAAGGAAAGAAAAATTATTATTTAATATAGTGAGATCGATTTTTTGAGACTCAAATTTTATGTTTTATCGTGCCTTCAGATACAGGTGATGACTTGTACATATATATATATACTCGGATGGATCCCTTATAGCCTGTTTTTTGGGTTTTTTTTCTTTCTTGGAGGTCTGTTGTGGGGCCTCTTGTGGGAATCATGNACTCAAATTTTATGTTTTATCGTGCCTTCAGATACAGGTGATGACTTGTATATATATATATATACTCGGATGGATCCCTTATAGCCTGTTTTTTGGGTTTTTTTTCTTTCTTGGAGGTCTGTTGTGGGGCCTCTTGTGGGAATCATGTAAATGTGTAAAATACTATCATGACTTGTGTCTGAATAGAAACCTCAGTGTAAGGGCAGTCATATAAGTCCATGGCCATAATATGTAGATTCCTTTTGTGTTGCCGTATCCTAGAGGCTTTTTTTTGGAACCAAGCAGATAACTCAGATACTATTATGAATTATGTCTATCCTCAGTGTAACGGCAGTCATATAAGTCCATGGCCATAACATGCAAATTTCTTTGTGTTGCCGTATCCTAGAGGCTCTGTTTTGGAACCAAACATATAAATCAGATACTAATTATTCCTTTTTCTTTATTTGGTGATGAAAGATAAGCCAAGTCAAGTTGAACATTCTTATGTAAATCCAAGTGAAAATGTTTGCAAATTCAGCTTAGAGACAACACATTAAAATGATTCAAAACTGACCAGAACTTAATAGGTTAAGTTTAACTAGTTTTCAATACAAACTCAGGTTGATAAAATGAATAATATGTGACAGTTTATTATCAAATATGAATAGCCCAAATTTGAAATGATAAAATATTTAATTAGTATTGTATGAATAAAATAACTGAATTTTATTATTTTTATAACATATTTACAGTAGTTATACCAAATGAGAATTTTATTTCTATTTTTGCTATTATATAGACTTAAATAGATTTTAACCCTATGAAAAAAATATGCGTTGTGGTTTAGTTGAGAAATAATCCAATCTTAGTATTAGACTTTTAATTTAAGAAATATAGGGATTGACTCGAACACGACATTCTAAAAATTAAATGATCAAGCTAGCATCAGAACATTTGACATAATTACTTAAATGAGTTGAATTAAAGTTGATTAATACTCGATATGAATACAAAAGAATTAGATTCATGACGAGCCTAGATTTAGATATGACCTGAGCCCAGTTCATTGGTTAAGCCCAAACCATCAATAGGCAGACCAGGTTTAGCACATGGATTCAGTCTAGTCAAAAGCTCAAGAGTCGAGGAAGATCAACGCACGTGGACAGTAAACATAAGAATAGCTATTACTCAAAGATAGCATCTATCCTCAATAGTAGTTTTTTTCTCCGAAAGACTAGCTAGTAACATGAACTTCATGTCACTGCCTCAGCTAAGACTCTGTGCCCATAAATTGTAAACCCTCCATATATGAGAAAATTACATCTCCCTCATAGCTATCTCTCACANGAATCTATCCTCAATAGTAGTTTTTTTCTCCGAAAGACTAGCTAGTAACATGAACTTCATGTCACTGCCTCAGCTAAGGCTCTGTGCCTATAAATTGTAAACCCTCCATATATGAGAAAATTACATCTCCCTCATAGCTATCTCTCACACAGAGACACATCAACTCATCTTGAGCTTATTTTTGCTCCCTCTCTTTCTCCCACCTGCTATTTTATCAATAAAGTCAACCGGCCACCGTTGCCGCCTTGAAAAGTAGAATAAGTCACCATCACCAAAACACTCTATATCTATGTATTGCCTGTGATGATTTTATTTTTATATTTACTGCATTTATTACCTATATTAATTACGCGACAGGTAGTGCATAAATCCACTTTTGTGCATTATCAGTTTGGTGTCATCTGTAGAAAGCGATTTGATTCTCTCCTTANTGCTATTTTATCAATAAAGTCAACTGGCCACCGTTGCCGCCTTCAAAAGTAGAATAAGTCACCATCACCGAAACACTCTATATCTATGTATTGCCTGTGATGATTTTATTTTTATATTTACTGCATTTATTACCTATATTAATTACTCGATAGGTAGTGCATAAATCCATTTTTGTGCATTATCAGTTTGGTGTCATCTGTAGAAAGCGATTTGATTCTCTCCTTATAGAGTCTTCCTACCTCTAATGGCAATCACAACTGGATTCATGAACCACCAAGCAAAAGATGACTCACCACACCATGACAATGTTGCGCCACCACCGACGAAAAGTAGACACGAGAAAATTTTACTTTTTCACTAATTTGTGTTTAAAACTCAAATTTAGTGAAAAGTAAGCATTTTTTAGGAAACTTTGGTGCCCAAACCACCTTTGGCTATTTGACACTGGTAGATCTAAAAAAAAATACTTGAATTCAAAAAGACAATTGCCTCAAACGGACAATCGATCGCAAAGTTATAACTGCTCAAAGTTTTGTCGTTTCTTTATGCTTTTCTAATACTCCACCCAGCGCTAGTGCTAGTGACTAGCATCTCAGCACCAGCAACAGAGCCTGCACGTGCCAGCCTTTGTGTCGCTAGAACATCTTGGCATCGCCCAGATCACTACTCCAAGGCGTCGCCCAGACCGCTGCACCATGGGCGTCGCCTACATCCCAGTGCCCAGCAAGGGCGTCACCCAACGCCTTTCTCTAGCACCACCACTTGTGCACAGGCATCTCCTTGCCTCGATTGCCTGCTAGCGCCGCTACCTGTAGGTGTCACCCTACCTCAAATTTCTAGTGTCACCTCTGCATACGAGGGCGTCGCCCAGACTATCTTGGTGTTCTCGCCCAGGCCTCCCAAGTGTCGCTCATGCCTTGTCCAAGCCTCCCTGGCGTCGCACCGAACAGCCTTGCTGTCCCTTGGCATTGCCCAAGCCTCCTAGGCATTGCTCAGACCACCACCTAGACCATCCCAAGCGTCCCTTGGCGTAGCCCAACTTGCTAATTGCATTGGTGTCGCCTCAATGATAATTCCCTAAGCGATCCCTTCTAAGTAGAAATCAATCGAGATTTCTTGGAACTATGAGTCATAGGCATTTTTCCTAGTGCCCGGCACCCATACCCACCAACGCCTAGCACTATGCCCAACGGTGCCCGTGCACCTGCACACCTGCGCGACCTTGCCTGGCGCCCTCTTGCTCTCTCTACTAACGTCGTCATCCATGCTCGTGATGCATCCATCATCCTTGGTCTTGCCTCTCTTCTCATTCGTTAAGGCTTCCACCATGGAGCCACCTATGGAGCTCCTATTTGAGGTCTTCCCCTGGCCTCCNTATGCCCAACGGTGCCCGTGCACCTGCACACCTGCGCGACCTTGCCTGGCGCCCTCTTGCTCTCTCTACTAACATCGTCATCCATGCTCGTGATGCATCCATCATCCTGGGTCTTGCCTCTCTTCTCATTCGTTAAGGCTTCCACCATGGAGCCACCTATGGAGNACATCGTCATCCATGCTCGTGATGCATCCATCATCCTGGGTCTTGCCTCTCTTCTCATTCGTTAAGGCTTCCACCATGGAGCCACCTATGGAGCTCCTATTTGAGGTCTTCCCCTGGCCTCCATGATCCTTGCCCTCGACCTCAGTCAATTACTTGTGGGGTAAAGGAGAGTAAGGAAACTACTCTGGCTTCCAAAGGAATGGTATTTGGGTAAAGAATATGGGGTGGCTCAGGGCCTATATATATTGACTTTTCAGGCCCTAAGAATGATACCCTCACCTTGGTGCCTTCCACCTCGCCTGCTTCATCGCCTGGGTGCACGGCCTACGTGCCAAGCTCATCCAACGGTGTCCTTTGTGACCAGCATCACCCTCTTAATGCATCAAGTGACCTCGTCTCCTATGCTCGACGCCCATGCACCGCCAATTCTATGTTACCAGTGCCCTCTCACGAGAATTGTCAAAATCTCAGCCTCACTTTGCCTCTACTCTCAAGCAGACTATGCCTCTAGCTTAGCGGTTCTCAAGAAAGTTGCCAAAAAGCTTGGTCTCACTCTACTTCTACTTTTGGCGATTCTTGTAAGAGCTGNCTCTTAAGCAGACTATGCCTCTAGCTTAGCGGTTCTCAAGAAAGTTGCCAAAAAGCTTGGTCTCACTCTACTTCTACTTTTGGCGATTCTTGTAAGAGCTGTTAAGCCAGAGACATAGGTTGCTTACGTGAAAGCAAATGCAGAGCGAGGCCGAGCTTTGGGCAGCTTTCACGAGAGTTGCCAAAATGTTGGCATCACACACTCTCTACTATCACGCAGGCAGACTATGTCTCTAGCTTAGCCACTCTTACGAGAGTTATCAAAAGCTTAGTCTCACTCTGCCTCTACCCTCACTCATGCAGCCTATGTCTCCAACTTAGCAACTCTCACGAGAATATGNGCATCACACACTCTCTACTATCACGCAGGCAGACTGTGTCTCTAGCTTAGCCACTCTTACGAGAGTTATCAAAAGCTTAGTCTCACTCTGCCTCTACCCTCACTCATGCAGCCTATGTCTCCAACTTAGCAACTCTCACGAGAATATGCCAAAAATTTGGCCTCACTTTGCCTCTACACTCAAGAAGACTATGTCTCCAACTTAGTGGCTCTCTTGAGAGTTGTCAAAAGCTCAGCCTAATTCCTGCCCCTGCTCTCGCGTAGCCTTAGTCTCCAGAAACTCAGCCTTAAGACGTGCTCAACCTTGATTACTCCTCAGCAACCTGGTGCACCCGCCTCTCTTCTACTAATGCTCCCGACACCTCATCGAGTTTGAGCATCCTCAAAAGCACAAAAAAGCCACAGCCATCTGCGAGTATCCAATAGCAAANATTCCTGCCCCTGCTCTCGCGTAGCCTTAGTCTCCAGAAACTCAGCCTTAAGACGTGCTCAACCTTGATTACTCCTCAGCAACCTGGTGCACCCGCCTCTCTTCTACTAATGCTCCCGACACCTCATCCAGTTTGAGCATCCTCAAAAGCACAAAAAAGCCACAGCCATCTGCGAGTATCCAATAGCAAGGGTGTCAGTGTAACCAAAATATAAAAAGACAAGGGTCCATAGAAAATAGCGGTACGATAGCAAAGCCCTCCATCATGGTATCATGTCACTCTCAAGACCCCAAGAGCCGACCTCTCTTGTATCCAAGGTTGTCATAAACCTCCAAAGATGTTCCTAGATCTAATTCACGTCCTGCATCATAGGCACCGAGCCACTGTTGGAAGTAGGACAATGACGTAGAGCTTCGGTCTCAGTCTCTAAAATAGGTTGCACACCATCAAACCCCGCCTTCNAACCTGGTGCACCCGCCTCTCTTCTACTAATGCTCCCGACACCTCATCCAGTTTGAGCATCCTCAAAAGCACAAAAAAGCCACAGCCATCTGCGAGTATCCAATAGCAAGGGTGTCAGTGTAACCAAAATATAAAAAGACAAGGGTCCATAGAAAATAGCGGTACGATAGCAAAGCCCTCCATCATGGTATCATGTCACTCTCAAGACCCCAAGAGCCGACCTCTCTTGTACCCAAGGTTGTCATAAACCTCCAAAGATGTTCCTAGATCTAATTCACGTCGTGCATCATAGGCACCGAGCCACTGTTGGAAGTAGGACAATGATGTAGAGCTTCGGTCTCAGTCTCTAAAATAGGTTGCACACCATCAAACCCCGCCTTCCAAAAATAGTAGAGCCATCATAACTTAGCTAGAAAGCACTGAGGGCATCAGACCTCGCCCTCTTGGGAAGAGGGGAAGTCATCATCCTAGTGACATAGAGAGCCCTCACCATTGATCTATCAACCACTAAATCACCTATGAAAGAAAGAATTTTTAGAAACCGAAGACATCATCAATTTGCCTAGGTCCTCAATGGTGTCGCCCATGGCACCGCCCAACCTCATGCCTTCCTTGTTGTCACCCAAGTTCATATCTATGGCGCCACCCAAGCTTCTCTCCCTTTCCATGGCACCACACGCCAAACCATCCATGCTTCTGTTCATCCTCTCTTCAACAATAGCACTACCAAATAGAGAAATAAGCTTCGAAAATACAATGGAGAAGAAAGCTGAACAGAAGAAGTCACCATATGGAACAAGGTACCTTGGTCTACCCAAATGAAGGAGCTCACTCATGCCCTCAACCCCCGTATCACTTCTAAGGCTTGGGGCATGAGGGGTAAATAATGAGCCCCATATTTAGACTAGGTCTAGGCCTAGTTCATGGGCTAAGCCCAAACCATCAAAAGGCAAACTAGGCTTATCTCATGGCTTCAGTCCAGTACAAAGCTCAAGAGTTTAGGAAGATCAACGCACATGGGGAGTAAACATCGGGATAGCAATTACTCACACATAGCACCTATCATTAATTCTAGCTATCCTTCCTAAAACACTAGTAGCGGGACCTTCATGTCACCACCATAGCTAGGGCTCTGTGTCTATAAATTGTAGGCCCTGTATACATAAGAAAAAAATGTCTCTCTCACAAGTATCTCTAACAACTATCNTATTTAGACTAGGTCTAGGCCTAGTTCATGGGCTAAGCCCAAACCATCAAAAGGCAAGCTAGGCTTATCTCATGGCTTCAGTCCAGTACAAAGCTCAAGAGTTTAGGAAGATCAACGCACGTGGGGAGTAAACATCGGGATAGCAATTACTCACAGATAGCACCTATCATTAATTCTAGCTATCCTTCCTAAACACTAGTAGCGGGACCTTCATGTCACCACCATAGCTAGGGCTCTGTGTCTATAAATAGTAGGCCCTGTATACATAAGAAAAAAATGTCTCTCTCACAAGTATCTCTAACAACTATGTTTTGCATAGAGACACCTCACCTCACCTTGAGCTTATTTTTGCTCCCTCTCTCTCTTCCACCTGCTATTTTATCAATAAAGTCCTCTGGCCACCATTGCCGACTTCAAAGTGATATAGGTCACCTTGAGCGAACCACTCTATATCTATGTGTGACATGTGTTGATCTTATCTTTATATTTACTACATTCATTACCCATATTAATTACTCGACATGTGGTGTATAAATCTACTTTTGTGCATCATCAGTTCGAACATGACTTAACATTGCTGGATTTTTCACAACTAGTAATTGACTTTATAATTAATAATTTATGAAAACTAAGAAAAAAAATTTATTCGACGACCTTATATTCTAGGAAAATGTAGATTGACCTATTAGTCTTAGTCTCTATTACTTCATCCCACTTCTAANGCTCCCTCTCTCTCTTCCACCTGCTATTTTATCAATAAAGTCCTCTGGCCACCATTGCCGACTTCAAAGTGATATAGGTCACCTTGAGCGAACCACTCTATATCTATGTGTGACATGTGTTGATCTTATCTTTATATTTACTACATTCATTACCCATATTAATTACTCGACATGTGGTGTATAAATCTACTTTTGTGCATCATCAGTTCGAACATGACTTAACATTGCTGGATTTTTCACAACTAGTAATTGACTTTATAATTAATAATTTATGAAAACTAAGAAAAAAAATTTATTCGACGACCTTATATTCTAGGAGAATGTAGATTGACCTATTAGTCTTAGTCTCTATTACTTCATCCCACTTCTAGTGGCACTATCAAGTAGAAAGAGATAAAACTGTTCTTTTCAAATTTATTTATTAGANTCTCTCTCTCTCTCTCCCACCTGCTATTTTATCAATAAAGTACTCTGTCTAACATTGCCAACTTCGAAGTAATATAGGCCACCGTGACCGAACCACTCTTTATCTATGTGTGACCTATGTTGGTCTTATCTTTATATTTACTGCATTTATTTGCCATATTAATTACTCAATAGATGGTGCATAAATCCACTTTTGTGCATCATCAGTTCGAACACAACTTAACACCGTTGGATTTTTCACAACTAGTAATTGAATTTATAATTAATAATTTATAAAAACTAAGAACAAAAATATATTCGACGACCTTATATTTTAGGAGAATGTAGATTGACCCATTAGTCTTAGTCTCTATGACTCCATCCCACTTCTCATGGCACTATCAAGTAGTAAGAGATAAAACTGTTCTTTTCAAATTTATTTATTAGACTGTTCTATTTTAATTGATAAATTAAAATTTTATACATTGAATATTTATGGAAGTTAAAGGACCACACTGATCTAACCATCTAATTTTTGATACAAAATTTGGTAAATGATATGGTAAGTATAGCACTGTTTACCATATCCTAAGAGAACATGTACATTATACAGCCAAATTTTTTTCTATAGTCTTTCGCCCATCATCCTCTAGAAGCATAATTTACAATGCTTGCTCACATACATTTTTTTTCAAAAACATGCTTATTATTTGCTTTTATTTTTTTCAAGCTAGACAAATTGTCTCTCGCATTTTTTTTTNGAACATGTACATTATACAACCAAATGTTTTTCTATAGTCTTTCACCCGTCATCCTCTAGAAGCATAATTTACAATACTTGCTCACATACATTTTTTTTCAAAAACATGCTTATTATTTGCTATTATTTTTTTCAAGCAAGAC